GGTATTTTATACAAATGAATATAGAATGGAGTTTTTAACAAGTATGATAGGACAATTGGTTATTCACTTGGACAAAAACAAAGTTATATCTCTATCTTAAACTTTAAACTCACAAATAACTTCAAAATAGACTGTAGTTTTAAACCAAAAATAAAATTATAAAACTATTAGAACAGAATATACTTAAAGATTTTTTATGATTTTTACTTGAGGAAAACATTCTTAAGTAAGGCAAGAAAACCAAGTCATAAGGGGAAAAAAATCAGAATTGATTATATTTAAAATGGAAAGTTTCTGCATCTCCAAAGGCAACATAAACTATGTTAAAAGACATGAGCAAGATTGGTCAAAACATTTACAAAGCATATGAGACAAAAAACCAATATGGTCGATACTTTAAAAAGATGGTTACAATGATTCCACCCTGAACATATACTCCTTTTCAATGTGACTTTGCTGCTCCTCCCATCACAGGTGGGATCTATTTCCTGCCCCCTGGAATCTAAGTTGACCCCATGATTTGTTTGGTTAATAGAATGTGGCTGAAGTGACACTGTGCAAGTTCACCAAGAGGCCTTGAACTTGCACTTTTATACTCTTGCTGCTCTGAGTCCACCTTGGAAAGATGTGTGAGCTAGACTCTTTGAAGATGAGAGAGTATATGGAGAGAGAACCTAGGTGACAGCCAGCACTAACCATCAGACATATTTGTGAGGTCATCTTGGACCACCTAGCTCATGTCAAGCCAACAGACAGCCATAGCTACATGAATAATTTCAGGTGAGACCACCAGAAGAACCACCCAGCTGAGCCCAGAGCAAGTTGCTGACATACAAACTCACAAACAAATAAGATCATGGTTGTGTTAAGCCACTAAATTTTGGGGTAGGTTGTTATGCAACAATAGCTAAGTGGGACAATTATCCATCATTTATAATGAATTCCAGTGATAAGAGTAAACAGCCTGACAGGAAAATGAGCAGGCAAGTCACCAAACAAGAAATACAAATGGCTGTTGACCTGAGTTAAAGCTGGAGGAGTCCATGTGGATGAACTAGAATAAGAACTTGGGCTCCACAGTCAGCCTGCCTGGGTCAGAATCCTGGCCCTGCTGCCCCTGTGCAGCTGTTGACCTGAGTTAAAGCTTTAGGAGTCCATGTGGATGAACTAGAACAAGAACTTGGGCTCCACAGTCAGCCTGCCTGGGTCAGAATCCTGGCCCTGCTGCCCCTGTGCAGCTTTAGGTAAATTACTCAAATTTCTTCAGCCCTCAATTTCCTCATCTGTGAGATGGGTATATAAATACTACCAATCCCATAGGGTCATTGTGAGAAGCCTTACTTGCATTAAGTACAGATAAATGTGGCTTTTGTTTCTACTGCTGTAAGCGGCTCTGGTGAACTCTTGAATCTGAAGCCAAGTTGTTTTGGTCAAGGCTATAGAGGGATAAAAGAGGGAAAGTACTAATAAATTAAGGGATAGAGAACAAAGACATTTCAGAGTGTGGTTTGCTTTCATGTTTATTGTAAAAATAATCAATTGGTGTTTTATAATACTTGCTTAATCTCACTGTCTAAATGAGTTTTAGCTTTCCTACTAAAAATCTATAGAAATTCATGATTTGAAATCTGACTAAGACTTAGTAGAAAGGTAGTCTTTTGAATTTCAGATAAAGGAGATACCATTACTATTATTACAATTATTATTGCTTGTGGATTCTATATTTTGGGATGTTCTGCCTTCCAGACTGCTTTTATTATATAATTGTTTTCTCATCATTATTAATTAAAGACATATGAAAAAACTAATATGAGTATTTGATCAACATAAGACAAACTTATTCCAATGAAGAGATAAGATTTTATTTAACAGCAAAAAATGTTGATGTTTCTGTGCATTTTTATGCTATTGCCTGCAGCTATTGCAAACAACTGTATAAGTTCTTATTAGATATTACAAAATATTGAAAACAGTACAAATACTAACATTGTTATTTTTAAGAACCAGATAACCAATGGAGATAGTGTTCTCAAAGCATTGTATTGCCACCTTGTAATGGCATCCCTAAAGTACAGTGACAGGGGCCGGCCCAGTGGCTCACTCGGCAGAGTGCGGTGCTGATAAAGTACAGTGACAGTTATTTTCAGAGTCAAAAATGTATGTATACACATACATGTCTATATTTGACACAGAAAGACTGTCTAAATGCACTTGAAAATGTAAATTGTTAAAAGGCCTTTTCTCTCTTGTAGCCAGCCTGATGACTTTACCAAGAACTTGTACTACAAGGATGCTTCAAATACTTTTGTAGTATAAAATAAAAATAAAAAAAAAATTAAGGAGCTTCTAGTTGTGCAATCTTGGGCAAGTTACCTAACCTTAGTATCTCCATTTGAAACAGAGATAATGATAGTGCCTAATTCACGGGATTTTTGTGTGAAGATTAAGAAAGTCAATATATATAAGGTGCTAAAAAACAGTGCCTGCCATATAAAAGGCATTTAGCAAATCCTAGTTATTGTTGTTATTCTTACTACCGCTTTTATTGGGTGTCCTTGGTATATCCGAACTACTAAATCTTAAATAAGGATGCATCTCTTTTAAAATAATCCCAAATGTACTACAATTTAGGTAACAAACTCGTTATTGCATATTTCTGACTAAGTCAACCTCATAAGTTAGAATGTTTTAAGCAGAGATAACAACAACAAAAATTACATATAAGGATTGATTAACTTTCTGGTTATGAAGAAGGATTTTAGCAGCTTAGGATATCACAGAGCCAACAAATTTAGTTGGAGTTTAAGACCTGAGTTTAAAATGCCCAGTAAACAAAAAGACTACAGTGTTCACAGTTTTGTCTTCAAATACACCTGCTACTAGCAAATTCACTTTCTGTGGACTGCAAACAACAGACCAATAAATGTCTTTTGCAGCCTCCTCACTTGGCAGAACATACTTTCTCCATTTGAATTGTAATGCCTTTGCAGAGTCAGAGGCCCTAAGAAATAACTTTGGTCAGGAAGAATATAAAACTTTTATAATTACAAAAGAGAGTAAAATTATGAACTAAACTGCTAAACGCATCATTCTGTTTGGATAAGTGCGTATACCGAGTGGAAAGTATAACTGAACATTGTTATAGGATAAACTGAAGCTAGTGGATTAGCAAATACTTGGGACCCAAGATATTTCCAGGAACATTACTCTTTCTAAATCCCCCACTTCTTCTGCACTCTTGGGCAGTTCCTCAGCCAAAGCCCCTTTTGAGAATTCAGTCCACTTCCCTTTTAGAGTTGCCACTTCCCCCAGCTGCTTCTCTCATTACCAGACTGCTCAGGCGGAAAAGGCCAACCCCACGTTATTCTAATGATAGCAAACACCTCATAAAGAAATCTGCCAAATTTACTTTTCCACAGAACATCATTTTTATAGCTTTTCATGAGTCCATGAGGAAAGAAAGCATCATGTATAAAATATGACTTCCAGAAATCTTGAAGGTATTAAGAAGTATTTCTACAGTGGTAGATGGGTGGGTGTACCACAGTCTATAGGAATCCCATCAGTCTGTCACTGTACCTATTTACCCACAGGAGAAGATGAGAGATCTCCACAAGGTTAGAACATTTTTAGAAACGTCCCCAATTTGAAATAACTTTAAACTTTTGGGTGTATACTTTTCCATTGCTGGTTTTGTATTTGTGTGCAAGGGTCACCTTGCTTTAGTCTGTAACACCCTGGCAGAGACAAAACCTGGTGTAATTAACCAAGTTTGGAATGTGTGAACTTTGGCAAGTTTCTTTAGCTCTCTGGTCCTCAGTTTCCACATCTGTAAAGAGGGGCTATTAATAGTACCATACCTCACAGGGTTATGATTAAATTAAATGAGTTAAATTTTGCAAAGCACTTAAGATAGTAGCACATAGTAAGCACTATGGAAGTGTTTAAGTGAATTCTTCGCTTTAGCAGTAAAGTTTTTCTCAATAAATTGCATAAAGATGTAAAAAAAAAAATAACAGAGGCAATAACTACAAAGCCCTTTGGGAACAGTGAATAATGCTTACCTCGACATTGCAGAGAAAAGAGATTTGGAGGGGATGGTTTGAGGAGAAGATTTTAGGAGCTAGAGAATCCCTGCTGCCTCCTGGGAAAATCCCTGCTCACCAGGACCTGTGCCTTAAGCTTACAGTTGTTGCACCCCTAGACCCAAGAAAAAGCGCTTTCCAAGGTAGCGGCAGGAAATCCCTACCTGGGCACCTTTATTCAGAAACCAGAACTCACATTGAGTCTGACTGTCCCCTATGTCCTCCCCAGTCACGACCCCTCCCCTACCTTGGAGCTGAAATAAATCAACAGAATCCCATTCCTAAAACGATCTTCAAAGGGGCAACAGATTGCTGGGAAGAAATCTTAGCTACAAGTTTAAAGCCCCAGGAAACCCTGGCTCTACAGGTGCCTTGCCTCCCGGAGGGACACAGGAGGCACGGGAACTGCGTGGGCGAGGAGGGGATGTCTGACCATTCTCCTTGGGAAATTCTGTCTTGATCTTCGCCATTGCTATTTGAAGGGGCAGACTCACCAGAGTTCTTTCTCCCAAACAGACTTTGGGGATATTATCCTAAAGGTCTCCTTGCCTCCCTCTATCCCCATCCCGCCCCACCTCTAGTAACGTCACTCAGCCCCTAAAGGACAGCCAAAGACTGGCAGCTCTCCAAAGCAAAGGAATTCTCCACACTTCCCTGCTCATCCCAAGCCTCGCTCCCCCAGGTACCTGACCTGTGACAGATCTGGAGGAGCAAGGTCCGGCAGACCCTGGGGCCGGTCCACCTTCCAGGCACATGCCTCCACTCCGCTTCTGCGCAAGCGGAATTGCCCGGGCAAAACAGTTGTTCTTTGGTGGAGCGGGGAACCCGCCTCCTTGCATCCACCGGGCGCTAGCTCAGCACCGCGCCACCCCGGTCCCCGCTGCCGCGCACGCCCCTCTCCGGCGGCGCACTTACCTGCAGCTGCACCAGGCTGGCGTTGCCCGCGGCCCCGTCCGGCCCGTCGGCGGCTCCCGAACCGCGCAGCACCGTGATGTGCAGTGTGAGCAGCAGCAGCCCCAGCAGCAGCAGCAGCACACACCTTTTCTTCTAATTGTTGTGTATGTGATAGATTTGCGTCTGTAAGTTTGGTTGCAAGTTTCACAAGGTTGAAGCTTAATCTCCTTGACCACTGTCAACACCTGACTTAATCGCAGACATATAGTATGCTCTTACCAAGTATATCAATTAATTCTTTGTGGCTATCAACCAAACAACTAGAGATGGGATATGTACTAGTTTAATAGTGTCATTATTTACTTGTCTGTAGCAATATAACTCAGGCTAGGAGGAACAAACCAAGGGATTACCTATTTCCCTTCCTGGCCATCTTCTCCATGACATATTCCGTTACATTAATATATTATATACCTTTACCTATTAACCTCTCATCATTATTTAAAAAATTTTCCAAAGGCTAACCGGTTACCTCATTTGGATGGGTGCAATAATGTTAATACCAAAGTCGGAGGGATTTGAACCCTGTACCAGTGAGCCACCAAAAAAAAAAAAAAGAATTTTCCATAAACACACATGTATTACACACACACACTCACCATCCTTTTGTTTATTTGTTTTCCTGAGAAAGGAATGCCAAAGAACTTACTTCCCTGATGCTCATGCTCTGCCCAGACTTTACAAAGAAAGGATAACATCGTAGATACCAGTGTCTGATTGTAGGAGATGAAAGAAATCTGTATTCCTGCCTTTGACGATTCACCCCACGTAGGGAAAAGTGCCATGGTTGTAGAAAGAGAAAATGCTAAATCTTCCCTTCAGATAATACATCTCTGCTTAGGGAAGTAGAGACTAGGGGGACACACATTGAATCACCTCTTCTTTCATTATTTTTGACATTGATTTGTCATTAGGAAAATTTATTAGGCTCCAGATTAAATTGATTTGAAGAATCATTAATTCATGGGATGAAGCGAGAACCATTTGGCCTCCCCATGCTCACACGGAGGTTGTCACTGTTTGAGGTGGTCGGGGTGCCCCTCCGGCGTCTGCGTCCGCCCGCCGGGCTGTACCGAGTGCGCGCTGCCGAGGTCGCTGCGGCCGGCGAGGGCAGAGCCCTTGTGCGTACTGAGGCTCGGGGCTGTGGGTGGGTGGCTGGGCGGGGGTGCCTGCGCGAGGGTAGAAACCTTTATTGGCAAAGTGGACCTGGAGCTGTGGTTGTGGTGAATGGAGGGGCCTCCGGATAAGCCAGGCGTCTGTCTGCGACTGTGCGCCCCTTCTAAAGCAGGCTGGGAGGGGAGGGGAGTGACAAAGTGTCGTTCCGGAAGGGTCTTGACACTTGCGCTCCTGGACGCTGAGCTGTTCGACCGCTGGGCACAGCTGCTGTCGCGTCCGCGGCGCCCTGTAGAGCCTGGGAAGGGAGGTGAGTCCAATTAGCTGGGCTTCGGTCTTGTCAAGCGCGCAGGTGTCGCGGCGGGAAGCTGCAGGGACACGGTGCCCGAGGTTCAGGGGCTCAGGACGTAGTTGGGACACTGGTAGTGAATATCAGCTCTGGCAGTCTCGAGTCGGGGAGGGGGGGCACTCATCCCGGGGGCGCAGCACCCGGAGGGGATTTGGGGGCTGCCGTCACGCAGCCGCCGCTCCTGGGCCACCGCCTCATGACCGCGCTGCAGCCTCCGGCTCCCGCGCGCCGCTCATGCCTTGCAAGGGGCAGCTGGCGAATGGAAGGGCTAGCGGATCGAGCTGGGGGCCGGGGTCCTCTCCTCGGAGCTAGACGAACTGGGTCTGGGCTCAGGTCACGGCAGTGGCACCGTGCGTTTCTCTCCCTCTTGATCTTGCTCTGGCTCCCGCCTTCTCGAAGTGGCCGGGAGTGGCGGGCGCTCTGTAAGGTTGGGACCTTTTATACTGTGTTCCCTCCGCCTCCCACTCCCTGTTTCCTCCCACACTCCTTCCCTGCGCCAGCCCAGCCTTTCCCTCCCCCGTGAGCTGAGCCCTAGTTTAGGCGTTCACACACATCCATTTTGCAGATTTCCAAGCCTATTTCGCATACCAGACCCTAATGCTCCCGGGATAGATTCTCTCTTGGTGAATGAAATTTTAAAAAAAACACAAAAAACAAAAAACTTTTTTACCAACAGGGTCCCCCTACCCTCCAATTTTCTGCATTCCTCCGCATCTTGGAAACTGATGTAAGATCTTAATTCTACTACCTTCCGATTTCACATCTCTGTGCAAGGCACCTCAGCCAAGTCTTACCCAAATTAAGACGTGAAAACATTCCGAAAGTTCCTCAGGTCACCTTGGCATTTTGCAGAATTTAAATAGAGGTGGTTAAGTTACGGTATGTTAAGGTTAGAATGTTGAAGAGGCATTTTTAACATTCTAACCAGCTCCAGCATCTTCTTAATAAATTGGTAGCTGTTTATGGAGCACGCACTGTCTTTTCCTTTTCAGTATTTTTTTTTGGGGGGGGGAGTTTGGAGGGAGTGCTTACTTTGGATTTTTAGATGACCGTTCCTATCAGGCTTCTTATTCTGATCCCCAGGCTCTAAAATGCTAATAATTGTCAACTGGAGCACTGGGGGAGAATTTGAAACAATAAACCGTCCCTGGTTCAGATGGGAGATCAAAGACGGGATCCCAGCAGCTTTCAAATCCCACAGAGTTCCTCCTGTGTGTTTTCTAATTAGGATCACTTAAAAGGGGGTGGGGTGGGGGGAGAGGGGAGGCCAGGAGAACCAGCACAGGGATGGAATATATAAATTAAGATGGCAAACTAGACTCCTGTAGCAAGATAGTTTAAAGATGGCTCTAACTCCCAATTGTGCCAGATTGTGATGTGGGTGCACAGGGACAAACTACTTTCCTCTTGCCAGAGGCAGGCTGGTCTAAATTAGCATCCAGGGGCTGCTGTGTTCTGCCTTTTCATCACACACAATCCCCACATGTGAACCTCAACTGCCTCTCCTCTCATTTAAAAGTAGCATTTTTTGATCCCAAGGAAAAATGACTTTTAAAGTACGCTAGAAAGAAACCCTTGCAACGAATGTAAATTCTTGTAAAATTGTAAGTGGAGATTTGGAGATCAAAGTCTTCGTAAAATGTTGTAAAAATTGTAAATTGAATTTTGGGGACAGATGCCTTTATAAAATGTTGAACAAATGTATGAATGAATCCTATTAAAATCCCTTCATGCTGAGAGATCCAAATCCCAGGTGAATTTATGTTCTAGTAAGCACACATAACTAGTATTGATAAACATCCGTGCTCTATGACTAAAGTTACCAAACAAGTCTGCCAGCAGTGTTCTGCTTTTGAGAAGTTACGGAACATAGGCTTATAATTATGGAAAAATAATTAAAAATTTAATAGCCGAAACAAATTAAGTTTCAAGCATTTTATGAAATTATACCAATAGCTGATGAAAGTTTTAAAAATCCTACCTCCTTCTTGAGAGTTCCCACAGGACCTGATTCATGTCTTTATTACTGGTCTTAACTATACCTGAGTAGAATGTGTCTGTATGCATGTCTCTCTTCCCACCAGACCTGGATCAGGATCACCTTGGTGGTAGAACATTTCTGCACACTTTCCCCCTTCCTCCGCCTAGTATCCAGTTTTATTCCTGGGTTCACAGATAAGGGGACATTTTCTAGCCCCACATAGATCTAGGTGGGATTGTGAAGAGCTCTGTTACCTCCAGATCTGACCATAAAACTTCCTGAATGATTATCCATATGTACTCTTTCCTTTCAACTTGGCAAAGGACTCTGAGATGGAAGGAGCCCAAATCTGAGTTACTGCTGAGAAGAGAGCTATTGGACCAGGAATATCTGCATTTAACCTTGTGCAAGGGAAAAATACAACTTAGTTGTTCAAAGACACTGTGATTTTGGGTTGTTTGCTCAGCAGCTAGTTTTGCCTATCCGGAGAAGTGCAATCTTCAGGACAGGCACAGCTGCCTCAACATCATTGCATTTCTAAAGCTGAGCACAATGCTTTGCACAGAATAGTTGCTCGGTCTGTTTTTAAAATAAATGTAACAAATCTGGTATTTATTTAGACCGTACTTAAGAAATTAATTTTCCTTATAGTGTTCCTTCTATAGGTGTCTGACATGAATATTGTTAACTCTTCTGTCTCTTGATTATACTATTCTCTCACAGATTTTGTTTTTTATTAATATGACTAGGCTTCAACAAAACACATGGCCAATCTTGTCATCTATATTCTCATAAAAGTCCTCCCTCTTGAATTATTTTGACATAAATCCATGACATCATATTGTTTCACTTGTACATATTTCAGTATGTATTTCAAAAAGATAAGGACTCAATTAAAAAAATTTTAAAAACACATGCATAATTGTACATGAGCTTTGAACAGAATTAAGAAGTCAAAACCAGAGACTTTTTCTGGGCATAAGAATGACTAGCATTTAGGGATTGTGGTGGAGGCTATTCAGTGTTCATCGAAACCTGTTTCCTCTTCTTCCTGGATGTACCAGTACACTACATTTCCCAATATTCTACACATTTGGTCTCAGCCATGTGACTGAGTTCTGGCCAGTACAGCACGGGTGGAAGGGATGTGTGCTTCTTCCAGATCTAGCTCAGAAAAATCTCCTGTGCAAGATCCTCTTTTTTTTCCCTATGTGCCAGTTGCATGTTTCTACCCAGGGAGACCTTAGAACAACGATCAAGCTGGGTCCCTGGAGCAGACCGCCTACTGCACCTCCATCTCTGACCAGGAACATCCTGGCTGGGCTATTGTGTGAATGAAAAGAAACTTTTTTAAAAAAATGTATTAAGCTGCTAAAATTTGGGGGTTTGTTTCAGTAGCTTGCATTACACTAATACAGTTTTTAAATGTATTAAGCTGCTAAAATTTGGGGGTTTGTTTCAGTAGCTTGCATTACACTAATACAGGGGACAATGTTCAGAGAGGGAAGGGCAGCAAACCTTTTTTTACAGGGCCAGATAGCAAATATTTTTTGTCTTTGTAGGCAATAAGTTCCCTGTGGCAACTACTCAGGTCTGCTGTTGTTGTGGGAAAGCATCCATAGAAAGACATGAAAGAATGGGTGTGGCTGTGTCTTAATAAAACTTCATGTCCATAAACAGGCTGCTGGACCATATGACTTAGTTTGCCAACCGCTTTTCTAAGGGGCTAGCACATCTCACAACCTTGTCTTAGCTGCTATATATGGAGGAATTACAGCAAAGTGAAGTCCCATGGATTCCACTTACTAACCATGTAACTTTTTGGGCAAGTTATTTTGCCTCTCTGAGTCTCAGTTTCTTCCTCTGTAAATTGGGGCTGAGAATGTCTACTCTAGGGCTGTTGTGAAGTTCAGCGATCATTCCCACATGTAGGACAAAGTAAGTTGTTCCAGGTCTCCATGTCCAATAGATCAAGGACTGTGTATTCTGTCTGCAAGGGCAGGGAGCTTGTCTGCCTCACTCACTTCTTAATTCACATAGTAGCTGCTCCAGAAATGTCTATTCAATGAAGGCAACGTTTCGAAAACTGCTAAAAATTGTAGCTCAAATGAACCTTAAAGGTAAACTCTGAGCTCTCAAGGAAACACAAACAAACAAGAATCTAAAAGTGTTGTTCCATACTCAGTCTCTTCTTTGAACTAGGAAGGGGTCACAGTGCTTACAAGTGAGAAAATCACCACCATCAGAGGCACTCCCAGGGTCTCCACCCCTGAAAGCAGTTGCTAGGCTTGTGGGGCACCTGGATCCCTAGCAATGTTCTGCTTGCCGATGCTCCAAGACAC